CCCTTTATATATTCACTCTCTCTCTCTCTCTCTCTCTCTCTCTCTCTCACTCTCTCTCTCACACACACACACACACAAACACTGTGGCCTAGCCCTCTTACTTGTTCTCTCCTTCATCCTTGGATGTGGGCTGCCCCTCGTCCCCCACGCCCCCGGTCACTGCTGACCATGTCCATTTGGCCCACTGGACCGGAGACAACCAGGACATCCCTGCACCACGTCGGGTCTTAAACCTGCTGCCACCTCCGAAATGTAACGGTAAACTTCCTCTTCCTCTGGATTAGTTCAGATCGTCACTGCTGTCAATCAGGTTCACTGATCCTCCACAGTCCTCCTCTGCAAAAAGGGGACTCAAAACTGGAAAACAAGCTGTCCTTATGTCTTCTGGCCTCTCTCCCTCCTAACGTCAGCTCTGCCCCGTCTTGCTTTCTATATGGCTTGCTCACTTCCTCCTCTTGCTTAGCAGCTCAGCTCTCCCATCCTCCACTTGTGCATTGTTGACGCTCGTGAGAGAGGAACGTGTCTCACGCTGCCGCTGCCGCTGCTGCTGCTTTGCTCTCCACAGCACTGACTCACACAGTGCAGATTACTGGAGCATCAGTAGTCACTCCTCTCTCCGCTCCCCTCCCCTCTCCCTCTCTGTCTGGGTGGACGATCAGCTGGTTAACAGACGTGGGCTCGCTCTGCTCTCAGTAGTTTGCCTCCCCCCTCCCCGATTCTTTCAGGGTTTGTCGATTGTGTGTGTGTGTGTGTGTGTGTGGGGGGGGGCAACGCTTCCTGTTTTAGGAGGCATATAAGCGTCTGGTTACTGTGGGACAGACAGGCTACCAGACTTTTGTGTCTTCAAGGGAGAGATGATGAAAAGAGAGCGGGGGGAAGAAAGGGAGGAAATGGTGAGGCTAACAGTATATTTTAAAAAGATGTAAGGATGTACACCTCTCCCTAATTCCCTATAACTATAAAGTAAAATGCAGTAACTACATTTCAACCGCTTTCCAGGAACACTACATCCTTTTGGGCTATTGTCGCTCTGAAACAGACTATTTCTTTTCATTTAACTGGACTAAAGGAATTTTCTGTGTAAATTAACTGACTGACATGTGACTTTCTGACATGTTTGGGCAGCCCACAATGAGTCTGAAAAGGTAATTTGAGTTGTTAATGGTTTGTTTACTCTCCCAGAGGAGACTGTGGATTACCGTGATTGTGCCGAAAAAGAGCACTTGTGCCTATTTTTCCTGGATGAAATGGAGACGAGAGCGGCCAAAGTTGCGAAGATATTTTGTATCCTTTATATGTATTACAATCCACACAGACAGATAACATCGGAACTGGAAATGTAGGGCGCTAACTCCATTATGTGTGACCAAACGTACAGAGGATCTATTGTTCGCTGAAAATATCCAGGCCAGACAGCAAACAAATCAATACGGCAAACCCAGATCCTACAGTAATGGTACAACGACCCATCAGACTGACAGCAAAGTCATTCGGATAAAAGCGCTCCTCACTGCTCACACACATGTGCCTCCGAGTCTGTTCATGGATGGCTTATGTAACTGTAAGTACACGATTTCACATTTATACATCTCCCCTCTCCCTCTCTCTCTCTCACACACACACATCTAAGCCAGATGAGATGCGTTCTTTGACTAATCTAATAAGAGCAGGATGGTTAAGCCACTGTGAAAAAGGTTAACAGGGAAATAAAAGAGGAAGCAGCAGAGGTGCGTTGCTTTTTATTTGCACTTTGAGGTTCCCTCCCTGCTGTTTACTGCTCACACGTGGAAAACGTGGACTGAAAGGCAGAAGCTCTACCACTGATTACACCGAGCGGGTCCACAGAGACAGGCGCGCAGATAGATGAATACATGCGCCAACACACTCAAAAATAATGTCACACACGGGTGAACACAGAGAAAGAAACTCTGTTCAGTGTGCAAGAGCTGCACTGAAAAATGGAGCAAATCAGAGGCATGGAAGATGGAAGACAGCATTAATTAAAAATAGAGAGTGAGAGACAACAGAGAGACAACGAATATGTTAACTGAGATACAAGGAAATGTGAGTTTTGGGGCAGGAACCTGAAATGCTCTCTTGTTTTCCTTAAACATTCTTGACATCGTCTCCTTTAACCTCCTTTGTTTCCTTATTTATCAGCAAGTATAGCCGAGAGGACAAACCTGTCTGTCTTGCAGAAGACACGATCTGCCTGAAGCAAACAAACCCCCCCCTTCAAAAAGCACACACAGACCTAATGGATGTCCTGTGCTGCACAAACGGTTTCCTCTGCTACACCTAGAAGTTGTAAACTCGCCTCTGGACATACAGTAACAACAGAAACACATGTCTTCACACAGACAGAGACAGCACGCAGAAGTGGACAGAGTGGGAATATTCCTGACTCTCTCCCTGGCAGAGGCATGAACCACAGACAGAGAAGAAGGGAAAACAGACAGAGGGAAAAGAATCAGCTCTTATGTAATACCTTCAAACCACAAATAGCACACAGTGAAACAGTGGCAAACCCACACATACAGTACACCCATTCGATCTAGAGCTGCCATCTTAGCACACCGAGACACAGAATCACCAATTACATTTCTGACTGATAGCAGCATGTGCGGTTACGGGCTAAGAATACATGAGTAATGATAAACATGTCTGTGAGCCACAACAGAGGTGATGTGATACTGGATGAGATAACTATGTGTGTGTGTGCGCACACACAGGAGAGGGAATTAGAGAAGCTTCTCAACTATCACAGACTATTTATCTCAGCTCTCAATCCCGCGCATGATGACAGAAAGGTCAAGAATGTGACATTTTATATAGCAGCACCATGAGGTCCACATTTCCCCTGACCAATATTTAGGTGCATAACAATCTTAAAAATTAATTGGTGGATTTAAATTCAATTTGCAGGGATTATTTTAGACATGCTGGCATGGCTCTGGGGGTGGCATTGTTGGCCTGTCAGCCGGTCTGTCTACCACTGATCCAGACTGAAATAACTCAACTAGTGGAAAGAAATCATAACCTAATTGTTAGATTAGTGTGGGAATTACTGAGCACACTTTCATTTTGGACACTACAGATGTTTTCCTCCTCCTTAGCCAAAATATCCACTTTCCAAATACAAGGTATTTGGAAATACCAAAAGGTCTAATGTGCAGATTGCCCTGACATTTGTTGAGCGCTACCCCTGCCAGGATGAGTCATTTTCATTTTAAATGTCCTCACAATGCTCCACTCTAGCACCAACCTGAAGACACATTTTAAATGTTTATGACTAGTTCTTCTAAGAATAACAGAGTCGTCAGTATGTTGTCTAACATTATGATATTGCGGCGTGTAATTGCAGCTTCCGTTCTTTTAATTTTAGACATGGGCACTAACCATGTTTCAATTACAAGTTGCACTCAAAGAAACGTCAAAACTGCCGCTGTCTTTAAATGTTTCTACTGTGATCAACATTTACACAGTGCACATGTCAAACAGCAAATGTACAAAGTAATAAACATGTCAGTGTCAGTATTTACAATGTAAGTGCTCCCGGTCATGTGTCTAAACTCAAACAGCTATAAAGTTAACATAACTACGGCGGTTACACAGACATGAGGGATTAGAGGATGACATGTGAATTTCATTTCTGGTGTGAAATATATTTTTGAGCTTCGGCTTTAAAAGCTTCAGTCGGGGGAATTAGACCATTACTGAGCAGTGAGCAGTGTGTAGGATTTAGTGCCGTCTAGCATTAAAGTTGCAGGTTGGAACTAAAACCAAAAGGCAATCTACAGCCAGTGTTTGGTTTATCTGTTCTAGAAGAGGATAAAACGTAGATAAAAACGTCTCATTCTTAGGTAACAAAAACAGTGATACACAAATGAAAACATACCTATGAATATTATATTCCATTTTTGATTTTAAGTGACAACCTGCAAGATTATTGTTTTCCTTAATGAGGCACATATTTAGTGCAGGGTCTTTCTTTAATCACTCAGATATCAACACAGGGGCAGTGGTGGCCTAAAGGTAAGAATCCCCGGTTCAATCCCCGGACCGGCAGGATAAATGTGGGTTGGTAAAGTGCCCCTCCCTCATTACCATCACCAGTAGCTGTGGTTGTGCTGGGCAGCTTCCAGGCATTAATGTGTTTAACTGTGCGAATGTGATCCGGGTGTTTCTGAAAAAGAGAGGCTTCCTCTCTGCGAAGCTTCCCTGAATAAATAAAGGTTTAAAAAAACGAATTAAAACCAATTAACCAAAGTAATGCACGGTCTAACAATATCGATTCATTCATATTCCATTAAGGTTCTTCTATTTATCCCAAACAACCTTCTTCAAACTAACTTCTTCGTGTACAGCAGAGGATACATATTCAGAAACCAAAACTACATAGACGCTTAGACCAGTAAAATATTCTATGAACAGGCAACAGGTTGAGTCAGTGTTGTTTGCTTTCAATAGAAAGCAGCACACACGATATTTATAATAAAAGGAAGTTGTGGATAATGTTCCAGCGTGTGCTATGCTGCGACTATGCAGTCTGCCAAGTATAAGCATGAGGGTGTGTGTTCATGGGGAATGTAAGTATATGTGCATTAACATTCAGTACATGTTTATATACTGTATGTTCTGCAGTAAGTTGGACCACTATGTGTCTGTCTATGTAATGACTCATCTAATGTGGACAGAAAAATACTGCTGGGTCATATTCGTTGGCATGCTCTATGATATGGCGCCATCTCGTGGTCGTTACTAGACTTTCACACAGACACCATACATAAATAAAACAATAACATTATAAAAAAAAAAAAAAAACAGCAGTATTAGATTCAGCTACCCTTCAGTGACGTGTCAGGATAAAAGAGCAAAGCAGATAAAAGGGATGAACAGATGTGTGTAACAAAGCGAGGGAGGTACATAACAGGTCTGATGTCACCTTTGGGAGCTCAAACAGAGTTGACAGGCTCTCTGGTTTCACCATGGCAACCATTTGGGAGGGGTCACAAGAGTATTTTACTGTTAAAACATACAGGACACATACACCCTCACACACACACACACAGGTAGAGGTAAAGAAGGTACATTTTATGGAAGCACAACTGTGTTTGCATCCCTGATTTCTCGGCATCCTTTATAGGAAACAGCCAATCAGTTGCAATCAGAGTTAGACTGAACGGAGCCCAGGCACTCACCGTGCTATACAATAACTTAACTGACAGTGGCGTGATAAAACAATCAGAGAAAGAATTAGGGAACAAGAGATAAAGAGGAGGGGGGTTTACCAGAGGAGTCATGTATAGACACCAACTGAGCTATTGTTTGTGGCTACAACAGGAATACAAGAGCAAACAATTCCCACACAATAGTACATGTACACTGCACACACATGCACGCACAGAGCTGGGACACAACACACCCCCTACTGATCTACTTTATGATGGTTTCATTCATTTCCTTTGCCTTTTAAATCCAGCTCAACTAGATTTCCATTCAAAATGCCATGTAGCTATTAAAGTATTTTCACTGCACTGTAATTCAGACAGAGATTATCAGCATCTATAACAATTCTGTGCAACTGAGGGGTTTTCAGCCATTAAATTCAACATGAGCCAGCAGTGAGTTTCA